GAGAGTGAAGAACATTGCGTGGGGTAAATTTATTTTTGATGAGACGAAGAGAGGCATTCACATTGTCGTTGAAGGGTTGAGGAAGCCAGGGGTTACGTACGTCCCTGGATGCATGCCGCTCATCCCTGTAAGTTGCGTGTTCATATGTGGTTTAACATTTGTTTTATATTTAAAGAGTTTTGGCTACCGATATTAGATAATGTAACTTATACAATTTTGAATGTTAACCAGTGTTGATGAAAATTAACATGTTAAGTTAAAAGTTAACATGGAGACCTCAAAGTTAACATGTTTAAGTGAAATATAACCAGTACTGATAAAAGTTAACTTATTATAGTGAAAGTTAGCTACGAAGAAATGAAGTTGCATAAGGAGTTTTGATGAGCAGGGAATTAATGATAAATAATTGTTGCCTGTATTTTGACAGCTATGGTTCTACGAGATGACAGGCATTAGAAAACCTGCCCTAAACATCAGATGGAAGCCGCCGTTGACCAACTGGGTAAGGGTCAGAGGGACGGCTGGATCGATGAGGAGGGAGACAATTGTCTCCAAGGCAGAAAGAGCAACCATTAAGATTAAGGATAAACCTGATTCAACCAATTTTCCAGCGGGGGGGAAATACCCTCAAAGGGAGCCCTCTTGGAAGAATATTAGTAGCGCTCGCCTTGGGAAGAAAAGGATCCCTGCGAGATCAGATAAGAGTAAAGCTATGGTGGTTTCATTGCCGAGAGTGAAGGAGAAGGAAGAAAACGTAAAGGATGAGAAGCAAGCGAGGGTGAAGGGCAGACAAAATAGCTCATCCGTAGGATACGTAAGCGTCAATCATCTTTTACTGATTTGCTAGCATATTTATGATGGTTGAATTTTGTAACTTACTGGTTATTTTTCCAGATTGTCTCCCATCATATCAAGAACGCGCTTGACAAAGAAGATGAAATAGAGAAGTTGAGCCGTGATCAGCAAATTCAGTTCTGGAGGAATACGGCCAAATTAAACTGGAAATTGCTCCATGCCACAAAGCGGAGTAAGCGCCTTCAATGGGATGCTTGTTCTAAGGAGATACATAGGCTGAACCGGAAATTAGAGTTTTACGAAGGAACTGCTGACCTGATTGATCCCCAGGACCTGAAGAAAAGTGTGGAGGAGATTATGTCCAAGAGTGACAGGCATACAAGGGCTGCACATGTGAAGAGGAAAAGAAGTGTTGACAGCATTGGCAAGGGTGACGATGTCGATTATTTCGATTATGACGATGTGTGCATTATTGGTAAGTAGGCCTCGCATATTGCGGAGGGTGTAGCACAAGCTGAGCAGGAGGGAGACAGTGTTGGCCAAGACGAGGATGAAGAGACTGGAGGGGAATATAAAGAGGAAGAGATGGAAGACAGAGAGCATGAGGAGAAAGATGAAGATAAAGAGAACGAGAAAGAGGAAGATAGAGAGCAAGCGCTGAGTGAGGGAGATAGAGAGCAAGAGTATAGAGAGGAAGAAGAGAAGGGCAGTGCGGAGAAAGTGTCGGAGATGGGTATGGGAGAGAAGAACTCATTAGAAGTTTATCGAAAGTGGTCGAAGAAAGTTGTTTCGAAGGGAACAAGGGGACCAAGTACCAGAATCAGGACTCGTTCTCAGCTAATCCGAACCCCTTTCACTGAGGAAAAGAAGAAGATAGCCCAACCAGAATTAATTACAATTTCGCATCACAAGGAGGATGTTAGGGAAAAAATCAGGTACTACTGCAAGCCTAGTGAATGCACGTGGGATTTTCAAAAAACCAAAAAAATCAAGAAGAAGGAGGAGGCTCTGTTGAAGTTGCTGAACGAGGGGATTCCTTTTGTTGATGATTTTAGCATACGCCTGGTTGATAGCGAAGGAACCTTTGTTCACAACTTTAGAATACCCCATCATGTAGCGGCAAAGCTCACTCTAGAGGAGAACAGATGGGTCTCAGAGTTTTGCAATCAGAAAGCTCATCAGTAAGTTCAATCCATGCGAACTCTGGTTTCTATATGCATGTTCATGTTAAAAGAAACATGTTAACTTATGCTCATTGATGTTAACTTATGCTATAACATGTTATTGTTCATTGTTATATGTTAAATTTTCCAGAATCAGGCTAACGTTTTACCATTTATGTTAATCTTTGTATCTTTCTGTCATATATCAGGTCATGTATTGTTTTAAATACGTCAAATAGTAGTATTGATTCTATGGAGCTTCTCAACCTACTACGAGGGGGGCGTATTGACGACCATGCAAGTTTAATTGCTTCATTTATGCAATTTTTCCTCACAATTTGACAGGGTTGTTATGCAATCTAATGTGTGTCTCATGTATGTTTCATTTTCAGGTGACGGAAGCTTTGATCGATAGAATAAGCTCATGGATGGATAGGCCAGAAATGGTTCCCTTGAGCCATAAGTATGGGATTGTATCAGTCTTCTTCTGCGTAAGCTATCTACTTTACGATACTATGATTCTTTAACACGTTTTTACTCCCGTCATAACATTCCATTATACTTGGATTATACAGCACAGCCTTTATGCAAACACTCCTGATTTCCCACACATATATACTTCATTTATACAAAAGCATATTGCTGCGAGGAAGAGTGTACTCCTTATCCCGCTTGTGCGTCAGGACCATTGGCATCTTGCTGAAGTCAGGTTGGATGAGGACGTTGTCAAGCATTACAGCTCAGCTACCCACGATGCATATATTGAACCGGTGAATAAAGTAATTGGCTTCATGGACCATATGAAGGCTGGTTTTGATCCAGACAATGTTTGGAGGAAGTTTGACAATTCGGCCGTCTTGCGTGCCAGGCTTACAGCCAAACTTCTTGAGGAAGGATGGGAACAGAGACATCAAGCGGAGATTGAAGCACATGGTGGGTGAAAGACGATTCTAACATTATGATGTAATTGAAACAGATTGTTATGGATATGTCCGATACTACCTGCTTGACATGCACTCTTTAATTTTGCTGTAAGCTAGTCAGTTTATGGAGGAGGTTAACAAGATTGGACAAAAGTTAACCACTTTCAGCTAAAGTTAACCAGTTACAACAAAAGTTAACCAGTGTAGGCGAAAGTTAACCAATTTCAGAAAAAGTTAACCAGATTCAGTAAACGTTAACCAGCTTCGCTGGAAGTTAACCAGCGCCAGAAATAGTTAACCAGTTACACTGAAAGTTAAACCTGTCGCTCTAAACCAAATTGTGTAAAATTTAACATGTCAACCGCTCAGCTACCCACTTTGGATTAGATCAAACAGCTCTGAAAGCTAACCAATTCAGGGAAAATTTTACAAATCAATAGCCAGTAAACTAATAAAACGATGCAGTGTTCCGCTATGAACTGCACATATATCAGTTCATTTTCAGCTTGCATATCACAATGTTTAAGCAAATTAGAACAACACAAAAACAACATAGAAAGCAGGAACAGGTTTTCCATTTTTCAACTTCATGCTTACACTGCTTCAATGCTTTCTTCAAATATTTTACCTTGGCTGCTATCTCATCTTCAGCGGGTGCTTCTTGGTGAACAACCACGTTCTCCTTCATTGCATTGACATTGTGAGCCCAAGCAAAAAACTTGTATTGCCTATTTGGGAACTTTGCACATCCCCAGAAGTATCTGCCTTTGTTGCTCCCATTTTTGCACTGCTTGAGGGGGGTTAGAAGCTTGCAGAAACAACATGGCTCTTCTACTGATTGAGAGCCATCCTCGGTCTTCATCTTAGTCTCTAAATGAGCTATAAAGGGAGGGAGGGAACAAGAGATATGGTTTTACTTGAGCCTTGCATAACATTATATAAAGCAAATGGAACAAGTAGCTAGCCGTTGGAATATGTCTGTTGGAACAGTAAACCAACTAGCCGTTGAACAGTCACGTAGATTTGAGAGCTGACAGCAATTTAACCTCAAACAGTGGGCCTTTATGATAACAAATTCAGCTAAAAGTAGTAGTAGTAAAGAGATAGTTATATGTTAACATGTTTAAGTACAAAATTCAAAACCTCCTGCGGTCTGACAGCAGAGCACAAAAATCTCCCATTAGTATAATGGAAACTTAAATGCAACTTATATTTCTCTAGCACCATTTCTCCTCTTCGTAAGCATGGCACACTAATCGTGGATGGGCTCGTTACAAGTTGCTCGGTTGTGCCCTTCCCTCTTGCATCGACCACATTTGACAGGACGTTTCATGATGGTTCTGTTGTTTATGCGTCTTGTTCTATTTCTTCCCCTCCTCTTCGTGGTAATTAGTGGCAAAATCTGGATTTCATCCTTGGGCACACTACGCATCTCATAATCTGGTATGGGATATAATATTTCATCGTAGCTCTTCTTAAACGCCTCTACGGTCATGAACCAGTCACAATACTGATATACCTCTCTTTTCATATAAATGATGACTGCACAAGCATGCACACAAGGAATACGAGTTACGTCCCAAGCACGACAAGTGCATGTCCTCTTCCCTAAGTCAACGTGAGTGGTTCTCTGTGATTGCACTTCGAATATATCATCTCTAGATTGCTTAATCTCTAACGTAGATCCTCTTTCCATATGTTCTCTAACAATCTGCTCAGCTTTAGGACAATGATAGCTTGTCCACTTTTCAGCCATTATGCGTCTGTTGTTCATGCGAGTCATAATTTGCTTGCGGATATGCTCCACCATTTGCAGGATACGCAGCATTCGAGCTTCATGTATCTAGCTAGCATCCAATGTAATAAGATTAACACGTAACCACCAAACTTTCCCTTTAGTAGGAAAAGTTAACATAATAACATGAAAGTTAACATATAGTGATAAACGATAACATATATCACCGATAGTTAACCTGCAAAAGGGGATATTCACAAGAAATGATTGAGGGCAGTACCTAATGCCAGGGAAGAAGGCATTCGCCGAATGCTCTGGCGAGTAGTTAATTACAATCTCATATGCAGCTGGAGACATCTCATATATATCCTTCATGTAGTCGTTCTATTCCGCAACAGTGTATTTATAGCAAGCTGATTGGAGCAAATTCCCCAAAACATGTGTGTCCTTTGCCTTCAATCCCAAATCCTTTAGCTTATATCTAAAATTTTCAACCAGGTGCAGAACACATCTTGAGTGAATTGCTTCAGTAAAATATTCTCTCACCGCTTCTTGGATTCCCTTGTCGGCATCAGAAATAATAACCAGTTGATGGGGAGGATTATATGGGTCTGGCCTTTCGTACAGTATAGACCACAAGCCTTGCAGGAACCATCTCCAATTATCAACGTTTTCCTGATCACATATGCAATACGCAAGTGGAAATATCCCTTGGTCTCCATCATATGCTACAGCGCTCAGGAGCAGGCCTTTGTATCTATCTTTCAAGAAGGTCCCATCCAAAAATAATAGAGGTCTACACCCATTTAAGAAACCAACGATGCAAGCAGCATAACATATAAACAGTCTTTTGAACCTTCCTTCATTCTGGTCAATGCAAATGTAGCTTCCTGGATTTGTTTCCTTCACCTTTTGCTCATACCTGTACAACAGTGTGACCACATTACACGTAAATGTAATACATTGGAACATAAGGGTAATGTATATTGACATGTAAGAGCTGACAATTTTCCATGAAACATAACAGTCCACTGTGACAGCTGAAATATAAATTTATGAAAATAAATATGGAAACATCTAAGGAAATATATTGCACGATAAATTTATACATTTAAACTGATAACTATAAAATTTACCATCTTAATTGATCGTAAGACTTATAACTATCACCGTACATAGCCTCATGCGCTCTTTCTTTGCCCCACCATATCGTACTGTATTCAAGTCTCAATCCATATCGAGTGAGGAACTCCTTTTGCACATCCTTTGGGCGGATTTCAGGTCGAACCTTTAAGACAGGTCGCAATTGTTCTGCTACAAATCTACGAGATGCCCGTGATTGCCCTGACAAGTTAGTATGTTGTCCGCAACTATGTTCATTCACAAACCTTTTGATTTCAATTCTTTTTTCATTTTTTACAGGGGATGCAAACAGCATCCAAGGGCATCCATAAGTCTCCTTATATCGACAAATAACTCGGATACGTTTAGGTTCATTCTTTACAGAGTCGTAGTCAAACTTTTTCGCCATGGAATAGTATTGCAACGTCTTAAATCATTAACAGTTTTAAATTGTTGGCCCTTTTTAGTTAATGTTGTGTGCCAACAGTCTGGAATGCTGTAAGTTTTACTGATAATATCATCAGCTCTCATTACAATCTCACCAGACGGGCAATCAGTTGGGATTCTCTCTGAATTGGAAGCATTTCCGCCAGAAGGGGGATGACAATATTCTTCATTCAAAGAGGCATCACTGCTGCAAAAATTAATCAGCCAGTGATATAAACTTTACACTAGAGTATAAAACTATCTTATAATGTTTAAAACAAACCATTTTCGTATGAATTAATTAAAGAGCAGTGGAATTTAACAGACAATTTACATAGATAACTCGTTACGCTGAAAGTTAACATGCTCACATGAAAGTTAACATGTTCAATTGAAGATTAACATATATCGTCAAAACATAACATGAAAGATGAAGAGTTAACGTATAAATTTCGAAGATGACAACTATGTTTTTCTACTGCGCATCGAAACCTGAAATCACAATTTTTACATCACACATTCCCAATTTGAGCCAAAGTTCATTGTTTACATATAAATCAGTAATAACTTTGTACTTCCTTTAAGAAGTAGGACACTCTATGTTATCAAAAACTTGCATCTGAATCTGAATCTCCGTACAACAAGTGAAAATATTGTCATCAAACATGCACTTCATGATAGGAAGAATATAGCAATAACGTCATACGACACCGTGCACGTCGAACAATTGGAAACCGTTGGGGGTTGTTGACAGTTATGACGATAATTAATTTGTTAAATTGAAGGGATTCAAAGCGCATAACGGGATTCCAAAAGATGAAGTTAAAAAACACTTAAAATGTTATGCGGCTTTGCCTTAAAGCCTGAAATCAGTATGTTCACGTCACACAAAGCTAAATGTTATAAAGAGTCATTAATTACTTACATTCCACCAATAACTTTCTGGTTTATTTCAGAACTGGAACACTCTTTATTAACAGCACTATTAACAACAGCGAGCATGTGAATCTCTGTACAACCGACATTTCGATTGTACTCCAACATGCACTTCAAGTCATCTTCGTTGTCAACCGAAAAAGTCAAGTTGGGGTGCCTCTCGGATTTATATACCAATGATAAAGCTTCTTTAGGTACTTTCATTCTTTCAGCCACATCAAATTTCAGTTCATAAAACCGTGTTGTCGAGCAGAGCTTCATAAATATGGCCTTCTCGCCTAAAGACACCATACAAATCAAGTCATCGGCGGCCATTGGGAGTGGTTGAGAGTTATGAAGACAGTTATGAGGAGTAATGGAGGGGATTTAAAGCTCAGAACGGTTGTTGACAGATGAAGGGAAAAAAACCCTAATTTCATAAATGGGAGAATAAGAGAAAAAATTACCCGAATTTATATCCCATTAATAAGGAGCTAAAGCGGACCAGTAATGGAGGGAACCCGCCTTTTTCCCCCCACTTTACGCCGTCTCTTCGCCTTAACTGCGATGGGAGAGATCGGCGATCATTGATGGCTGCCTGTAGCCGGTTCCCAGTGAGAGACGAGGGCATTTCGGGTCTTTTTGCCTAAATACGCGGAGCATACGTATAAAAGAGGGCTAAAGGGGTTGGACCACACGAATAACGTTTTTTTGGGCCGGCAGCCCAAGGGGAATAATTGGTGGGGCTGGGCCACTTCAAGGACACGATTTTGGGGCCTGAACACAATTTTCCCTTAATATAATATATTAAATGTAATTAATATAAAGTTATTATCAACATGCTTATTATATTATACTATACTATAGTTAATTTAATATATTAATAATATTTATTAAATAATATAAAAATATAATAAATAAAATATTTTATATAATAATATAATAACATATTAAATATTAATATTTAATATGTTAATAATGTGTTATATAATAAATAAATAATAATAAAATATAAATAAATTAATAAAAAAATTATTGATAAGTAATAGTATAATAATAATGATATAATAATATACTCTACATTAGTATAATCGCTATAATATTATTAACTTTTTAATAAATTATAATAAATTAATAATTATAAATATTATATAATAGTAACATATTTAGTATAACATAACAATATAATAATAAATTAATAATAACATATTGTACGTAAATGTAATATAATATATAAAATATTAATATATATGAATAATAAAATAATTTATTACTAATAAATGTTTATGTAAAAATAATATATTCATAATATAATAATAATTATTTATATCATAAATACTAATATATTATTAAAGTATTATTAATAAACTCTAACATATTAAAAATTATAATATATTATATAATATTAAAATATTTATAATATATTAGTTTATTAATAACATACTAGTAATAACATAATATTAACATTATTAATAATATTATATTATATTAATAATAGTATAATATTATATTAATACTAAAATAAAATTATTATAAAAATATTAATATAAGACAAAATAGTCAGATTGATATATTTTGTAGAAGCTTTGTGACATGTTGGTATATTTTTTTAGTTTTATCAGATTGGCATATTTTGTCGACTCCGGCGTCATATAGGTCTTAAGTTTGGCCGGAGTTACTGTTCCGACCAGAGCTGACGAGATTTGTTGCATAAAACCCCCTCATAAAAATCCTATCATGCTAACCCCCTCCTCCTCCTCATCATCCTCTTCAACCCCCCCCCTCTCCCTCCTCATCATCCTCTTCCTCCTACTCATTAGACTCTTCCTCCTCTTTGCCAACCGTACCACAATTCTCAAAAGGCCTTGTCAGCTTTTCCATCAAAATTGCCCTCAAAACTCTCTAACTTGCCCTCTTGAACCAACCCCAATCCTCCTAATTACTAAACTCAGCAAAGAGAGCTTCAATAGAGCCTTGGATGGGATGCAAGACATCGGATTGAAATTGCCATTGTGAAAGGGTTGAGGTATTTTCACTTTGAATGTAGCCCAATGATCTTGCATCATAGGTTGAAGCCACGGAATGTGATTTTGGATGTGAGTTTTGAACCAAGATTTGGGGGATTGTGGATTGGGGGGATTGCTTCCTGCTCGAGTCGATGCTTTGGGTTGTGAGTGTTAGGTTGCTTCAGAGTGCTTCAAGAGTTGTAGGTAAAAAAATTAATTTTTATTAGCGTTCCTCATCATCAAGCTTATGATCCCAGCCCAAATTTAATGAGGAGGAGGGAGAGGGGGAGGTTGAAGAGGAGGAGGAGGCGGAGGGAGGAGGGGGGGGGGAGGGGGAGGAGGAGGGGGTTAGGAGCATGATGGGGTTTTAATAATGGGATTTTATGTAAGAAATCCCGTCAGCACTAGCCGGAAGAGTAACTCCGGCCAAATTTAAGGGGTATTTGACGCCGGAGTCTACATAATATACTAATTTGTCAAAAGATAAAAAAAAATATACCAATCTGTCACTTATAATACTATAATAATGTAAACTAAATATTATAATATTTTATTTATAATATATTTTATAATAATTAATATATAATATATTAATAATATGTTTGCTACTAATGTTATAATGGGTCAAACTAGTGTTGACAAAAAATACTGAACATGATATTTTGAAAACATTTAAAGGGAAAAAGACAACACCATGGTGTTTTTTTTATAAAAACACAATAAGGAAAACACCATGGTGTTCAAACGAAGCCTAAATATTTTCATTTAGAGGTTGTTTGGTTCGTTTCCCATATATTGTGAAATACAATTCCACGTAAAGAAACTCAAATTTTGGGTTTTTCAAACTGTTTCAAGAAATAGCTTGTTTGGGTTTGGTTCACACATAAAATATGGTGGGAAATCAATGTATGCACTTTTCTTATGTTGCTTGGTATGAAAAAAAAGAATTTTTTTTTGTTGATTATACATTTTTCACTTTTTTGTGTTTGGGAAAAAATGTATACAGTCACTATAGTAAGTTTACCCCATTAAAGATAAATTTATTTGTGATCGTCATGGGAGGTAATCTTATCATAATAAAAGTACGAATGTAACATGAACAAATAGTAAATAACCGAATTTATTATAATTATCCGTTTGACATAAATATCATACGGAATCTGGAATAACATGATTAATTACTATGAACTGCGTACCTGATTTGACATGAAATATACCTGTTTGACATGAAAAAATCACATGAAACCTGTAATAACTTGATTATTCATAATTTTATGAAATACGTACTCGATTTAGCGAAAAATTCTTATGAAACATGTAAAAAATATATATATACAACCTGATTAGTCATAAATATGTATATGACATGGCAAATCGCATCAAACCTGGAAATACCAAATTAACATGTATGTAATGGAGACTGAGTAGTTGAGTCAACTTTCTAAATCAAAACCAGTTAGGTTTCAAAACCATAGGCAATACCAGTAGAAAATTTATTGATCCAAATAAATATTGTCAAATTCAACCTCTAACCACCAAGTAAATGTACTAGTCCATATACATCTATAAAATGCAATGTTTGCATACCAAATTCTAAACAAGAAAAATGTATGAGTAAGAAAAGTAAAGATATTGGTGAGTCTTCATCTGCACCATCATCAAAGGTAAGAATATTTAAAAATTTTATGATAAACAATGGAACTGTTTATTTTAATGTCAATTTACTATGTTTTTTATTAGCATGGAAGGATTAGTGAACATAAACTAACATTTGAAGAATGGATTGCCTATATGGATGTAGATCGAGAGCAAGATGAAATGTTGGATATCATGGAATTAGCAGAAATTATGCTAAGAGCTAATGCTATAAAAATTATAGACCTAAACAAAAATTGAAAGTGCCCTTACTGCAAAGATATACCCAGCACTTTTTGTAACAAAAATAAACTCCTAATACACGCCCATGAAGTAGGTTACAATGAAGTTGTTGCCAATCTGAGTAAGGTATATATTGGAGAGCATCTTGGTCTAGAAATTTATTTAAAATCGCTAAAATGAAAGCCTGAATATTTATTATTTTGTTACTATGGTGTACTGCTTTGATAATTTATGCATGTTGATGAACTTTATGTGAAAATAATTATTTGAAAATATTTCTTAACATCACATAAAATAAACGAGCTACGTGTATATGCAAATTATGGCTGAGGGCTCAGAACTTAATCAATATCATCATTGTTAGCCATCCAGTACAATATCAATAAATATTGCAGGTTGCTAATCTCAGAAAATTTAACAATCATCATAGCCTAAAAGTAAAAAAATCACCAATGTAAATATTGTTGAAGAATTAGGATCTACTTTACTCGTCAGTCCTGAAAAACCTGAGCTTAAGTCAAAGGCTAGTGAGTTATCCTCACTAGGTTTCACAACAATATGGTTGCCTCCCCCAACTGAATTAGTATTACCTGAAGGATATATGCCAAAGGATTTGAAAATATTTATTTTCTAGGTATGGGTTTATAGTGGAATACATCAGTTCTCTGAAATTTGACAATTTCACACTAGGTACAACTTGCTAGTACTCCATTCAGTGTTGTAAATGCACATGAGCTATATATGTTACCATGCTCGGGGGCTTTTCTAAAGAAAAACATAAAGCACTTTCAGATATATGTTATCATTAGCAAACTAGGAACTGGGTAATATTTTTGATACCATGACTAGACAAGCAGAACTCTCTAAACAGGAAATAAGTTTGATATCCCTAAGCATGAAAGAATTTTGATCTCCTTGCTACTACAATAGTAGTGTTCGATGAGATGCATGAAGGGTCCTTATCACACTACATGATATAATTATATGAATTTTTGTATATCAATTCATGCAGAAAACCACAATAAGTCCACATTCAAGGCAAGAAAAAGAATTAGATGATAAGGAGAGAAAACATAGAAACAGAAACATTTTGTCAAAATTTAGAAAGAGAGAGCTTAATGACCTTGTAGATAATGTTCATAATAAATGCAATAAGATGAATGATATTTATGAGAACATTTTTATGATAACTAGCTGAAGGAAACAATTTTTTGAAACTGGTCACCAATTAACTCAACCCATAAGCTTAAATCTAATATCATATATATATATATATCACAAATTCTCAAGGAGTTCAGAAGCAGACATGAAGCACAAGCCGTAAAACTCATAGACTAATTTTCTTAGCCATTTGAAAAGAAAATGGGAGAAGCCACAAGCCTCATTTACTTTTCCCTAAGGACACAGGTATGTATTGAACCTTAGGGTGTCATAAATTTTGCATAGTCAAAT